ATAAATGATGTATGACAGATGGATGGATGGATGGATGGATGGATGATGAATGATGTATGACAAATGGATGGATGAATGGATGGATGACAAATGATGTATGACAGATAGATGGATGGAGGATGGATGTCGGATGGATGGATGAATGGATGGATGGATGGATGGATGACAGATGGATGGATGAATGGATGGATGTCGGATGGATGGATGGATGTATGACAGATGGATGGATGGATGGATGGATGATGAATGGATGGATGATGGATGGATCACAGATGGATGGATGGATGAATGGATGGATGACGGATGAATGACAGATAGATGGATGGATGGATGGATGGATGGATGTATATATCTCCATTTATCCTCTTTTCTCTCCTATAGAGTCTGAACGTTCCCAGTTTTCCTCCCAAACATTCCGGCCTGCCCTTCTTTATCTTATCCCTTTTCCACTTTTTCCCTCAAGCACTTGTTTGTGTCACCCGCTTTCCTCTTTCCACAACCTTTCCATTCCTCCTCCCCCCCTCCTCTCTCCCTCTCCCTCCTCCCCCTCTCCCCCCCACAGCTCATTTCCCTTTCTTTCCACTCGTCTGCGGCCATCTTTTCCCATCTCTCTCCCCCATCGATCCCTCCCAGGTTTCCCTTATCAGCCTCGTCTCGGGGTCACTGAGGGGTCACTGAGGGGTCACTGAGGGGTCACTGAGGGGTCACCGAGGGGTCACTCACTCTGAGCCAAACACGAGTTTATCAGGAAGGAAGCAACAGGTCTGAAGCGGGAAACCTCACTGAGGACGTTACCGGGGAAAATATTTATTCCTAGGAGCAGAAACTGAACCTCTTATGGAGCAGACATGGATTTGGCTATGGACTATTTAACAATAAATTTAAAAAAATACATTTTAGTGTTATGTTTATGCACATTAAGGCATAATGTATGTGTAAGGGGGGGTTCCTCATCAGAACTAAGCTTTTATATTTATATTATATATATATATATTATATTTGATAGCAATTTTTCCTGGTAGTTTTTCCTCTTAAAGGGACAGCGAACCAAAAACTTTTTAACCCTGTAATGCCAAATGTATCATATTTGATACATACGGTTTCTGAAATGTTTTGCGTCTGACACCTTTTGCATAATTTAATGGTAAAAACTTTGCTAAAAATCCCATTTTACACAATCAAATACACCTGATAACAGGGGGCAGAAGACTACACAAAAATAATCTTGACATGTATTTCTGTTTTTTCTTTTCACATATTTTGTTAAAAGGCCAAATAAGGAATTCAAACAAAAAAAAGTAATTTTCTGTTTTGTTTTATTCTTGGATCAGGCTTTAAAGGGTTAAAAATGAGAGATCAATTCCACGTGAATACATTAAAAGCATCACGTTGAATGTCTATTTTCCCCCAAAAAAATGTATTTTTCCTCATCAAATATCAGATTCTGCTGCTGATTTATGGCCTCAGACGTGGACG